ACAGGAAAATGGTTTGTTAAGCAGTTATTTACGTTTTCAAATGCTCATTTTATGATAAGCAGAATTTTCCATGCATTTTGATTGGTCCATCTATAAGTAGAATTCTATTTACATTTGGATTGGTTTCTTTATGATCTATTGTGAGGGCAGATACATAGATGACATCGATCACCATGAAAAACAATTTTCCTCTTTATCATACCACTTTTCCTGATCTCATCTGTGTTATATTACTGAACATTGACATAAAGCATTATGCAATCTATTTGTTAAACAGTGTGGTCTTCTCATAGAAATCTGTGATGTATTGGTATTGATTATAACCTTCTACGTCTTTTTGTCCAGAGGGCACATTTCATACATAATAATAGTTAGGATTTTGTTGTTGAATGTGTCACAACTACTGATTTACTGGTTGTTACTCTTATGAATTTTAGTATTAAATGATGTACTATTGGTTCATTAATGATTATGGGGCTCCTAAGGTGTTGGATAAAAGCCTCTAAACTTGTTCCGCATGGTACAGGCCCTCTGTCTGATGAGATTTTCAGAAGTTCTTGTTGGATCACATTGGGTGCAAATTTAGCAAAGATTAAACTATTGGAAGATGGCTAAATTTGCTGCCAGACTAACAGCTTTGCAGAAATTATTGGCAGAATTGACTGAAGGGTTGCAATTATTTGTTCAGGTAGCTGCCATAGTGGAAGATACATTGTCACTAGATTGTAAGAAAGCTATCGCAGCATTCATGGCACAAGTGGCAAATTGCTACTTCTGAGGGTAGTTGGCAGGGCCTGTATGGGAGCCTGACGCATCAGATAAGACCCTCCCTGCTATCATCTGGTGTGTATTTTTGCCACTCCTGTTGCTGCTAATATGAGCTAAGCTTACTTACAGGCTATTTCATTTAGTACATGTTCGTCTTTCATTAGTCCTTTTTAACCATGTTCTTTCAGGATTTACAGAAGCACAAGCTGAAAGCTTGACAACATCTTTGGTCGAAATAATCACATCAAGTGTTCTCAGTGTAACTAATAGCACTGTTTCAAAAATTGATCAGGTGAGCATGGTCACAATATTGCAACACAAAATCTGTCTGTGTGACCTGATCAAGTTATCCTTCTCGAGTGTTTTAAATTTTTTTCAGGTGCACAAATTCTGAAGAATGCTGTCAG